CAACTCTCTTGAAGGACGGAAGCATCTGGTTTGGGAAGGAGGTTGACATTTGTGCCAGTTCTCTCTCTCTCTCTCTCTCTCTCTCAAACCTTTCCTATGGTGCCGAGCCTGTGCTCCCTCAAACATCTGCCACAGTGTTTGTGAGTCTGGTCCTCACATCAGCCCTGAGAAAAAGATGTAATTATTCCCATTTTCTTGATGAGACAACGGGGGCCCAGAAAGTGGCTGAGCGGGAATAAAAATAGGCCTGTCTGATTCCCAAGCCTAAAGAAGTAAGTGGTTGGAGTTTGTAGTCCTAAAAGTGGGCATAGTTTGAAGGGTCCTGGCCATACGACATGTCACCAGCCTCTGTCCTGAATAGAAGGCAATGGCATATGAATGGGTCATGATCCCAGTGTGGCTCTTGTGCTGGCTCAGGTAGAAATAGGGATGAATGACAAGTGGTTTATACCCACAGCCCTTTACATACACAGCTGCTCACACCCTGTGTGTCCTGCCTCCCTTGCCCCACTGTGGACTTTTCTGGTCCTCCCACTGATTTCTTTCAAGCTTGACTCAAGCCTCCCTCTTCTCTGGAAGCTCCTTCTGGAGTAGACCTGAACTTTCATGGCATTGGGTCTTTATTGGCCCCTACTCCGGCACCTAACCCCAGCAGGTACTATTGAATGTTTGCGGAGTGAATGAGTATATACACATGTCCAGGAAATCTCTATCCGTCAAGTTCCCTAGGGAGAGGCAAGCCCTCCCATCCCCCAGCTCCTTCCTCTCTTCTCTCCTCCCCTGCCCTTCCCCATCCCTCTGGTGCTAAGCCAGCAAGGCTAGAGGCTGAAGCAGCTGCCTCTAGCTGCAAGAGCCACTGGTCCCAGGGGGAGGGGAAGGGGGGAAGCAGGAAGGGTTGCCAAGCCAAGTCTGCTCCATACCTCCCATCTAGGAGGGCAGATGGCACAGGGCAGAGTGAGCAAGGCAGAGAAGCCAGGCCACCAGGCCAGGTTGGGAGGAGGAAGCTTCCTGCCGGCCTTCCACCCAGTAGGCAAGCCCACTGGGGAGGAATCACCTGTGCGTTCCCTTGGCCAAGAGTCTGAGGGTCAGTACTGGATCCACTGCATTTGGCAATTCTCTGGGCCAGGCTAGGAGTGGGATGGGATGCAGAGATAAGTAAGATCCATTTCCTCCCCAGGGGATCTTACTGCCAGACATTTAGGCAATAATAATAACAGGTAATAATCATTGAGCACTTTACCAAGTGCCAGACACTGATTTAATTGAAAAGTAACTGCATGCTTACAACAGCCCAAGAGAGAAATGCTATTATAAGCTCCATTTGATGTATGGGGATAATGAGACACAGAGAGATCACTAGGGTTGACTAATGATCACTGTGGGTGACTTAGGGATGGAAATTCCAGGAAGGTGGGTCCTCATTTGCTTCCTCTAAATAGTCTGCCCCAGATCACACAGTACGAAAGTTGCATGCTGGGATGCCTGAGTGTGGACCCAGGCAGTCTGGCTTCAGAGTCCCTGCATTTAGCCCTCATGCTACCCATCCTCTAAGCCGACCCAGGTGCCAATCAGCCATGGCCAACACACACAGCATCTTAATCCCCACTTTGCCCCCTTGTCAGGAGGTTTTTAGAGTCTGTAAACTTGCCAGGCACCACAGTGTGCTTTAGTGTATCACCATGACTACTGCCCTTTGCTGCCTGACATGGTTACATCTTTATCTATGGGCTTGTATTCTCATCCCTGGGAAGCACTGAGCTCCTGTGACTCCACCATCTCACAGTCCCTTGGTCTGTCTTGTACAAAGCAGGTACTCAAATGTGTTTGCCATTGAGGGGGTTGAGAATTTCCCCAGGTCTCTGTGACTTAAACAGACGGGGTCTCAACCTGTGCATTGGGAATCACCTAGGGAGTTTAACAAAAACATACCCAGACCCCATCCTCAGAGGTTCTGATGTAATTGATGTAGGGTGCAGTCTGAACATGGGGGATTTTAAACACCCCATGTTATTCACCGTTATTCTGATGCCTTGCCAGGGCTGAAAAGCCTCATATTAACACTGTTTTAGAAATCTTGGCAGTTTCAGTTGAAGGAAGGCAGCAGAGGTAACAGCTTTGGAGACCAGTAGGCAAGATTCACGTCACAGCTCAGCCACTTACCAATTGGATGAGTTTGGGCAAATCAACTTTCCCAAGCCTCAGTTTCATCATCTGTAAAAGAAGATAATGACATCTTCCTAGAAGTGAAGCACCTGAAGGAAGTGCCAGGTATTTTGGTGCTCTTAGGGGACAATAGAAAACAAGACAGCTGTGGTCCCTTATTTTGTGATATTTACCTTCGTTAACTCAGTTTAACAAACCTTTACTGGGTTTAGGATATCAAGCACCATATGGGTTCAAAGATGGACGAGACCTTGTACTTGTCCTTGAGAAAAAGAGAAGTAGATGCTAATCACAATTAAAATAGAGGAAGGTGGATGGCAAGAAAGGTTGGTACCAGGGGTGGTGGGGTTCAAAGGAGAGAAGTATTTAGAAGGCAGACCAGGGAAGTTTTCTGTGGAAGATATGATACTTTAGAAGGCCCTTAGATCATAGATAAGATTTTGTAGAATGGGATGAGGGGAGTGGTAGTGGAAACAAACAAAATCACGGAGGCAGGAACTGCCAATAATCCAACCTGATAAAAGAGCTGGATGTGCATGCAGAGAAGGGAAGAGACTGTGTAGACACAGCAGGAAAATGCAGGTTGGAGCCTTACATGCTAGGGTGAGGCATTTACACTTGCTTTGGTCAGCCGTGGGAACCATGCAAAAACGGGAGCTGAGTTGCATAATTCTTAGCTCTTAAGACCTCGACTGCCCCGGCTTCATTCTGGAGTTGGTGTCTTCTTTGCCACTGTCCTTGGGGCCTCCCCTTTTCTACTGATGGCCACCTTGGTCATGTGTTCAGTGCCCTGTGGCTGCCGTCAGGTGAGGGTCCAATGAACCCACTCAACCTCAAGCATGAGATGTATCTCCAGATGGTACCTCCCAAGGTAGTTGCATTTTGGCAAGTACAGTGGAAGGAGCACCAGACTGAGAATCTAGGTTTTCATGCTAGCTCTGTCTCTCACCAGCTGTGTGATGTTGGGCAAGTCACTTCCCTTCTCTGAGCCTAAGTTACCTCCTCTGAAAAGTGGCCAGGCTGGATTGACAATTGAGCCTAAGTTTCCTCATCTGAAAAGTGGCCAGGCTGGATGGATTGATTGACAATGACCCTTCCAGCTGCAATGGACTCTGACTAACTTGTCAATTGCTAGACCCAAGAAGGTCTCTTTTGACTCATGCAAGGGGCTGCTGCTGCTGAAAATGAGATATTAAGCAGGAGGCTTGAGGGACAGAGATGGAGAGCCCACATGTAGGTAATCAGCAGGGTCAGCTGAGCCCAGCCTTGGATTCATTACTGGGTATGGGAATGGAGAATCCTCCAGGTGATTCAAATCCCTAGCTATTTGGGTGTTCCCAGTTGAAATCCCAGACACTGCAGGGCAGAAATAAGTCATACACACTGTGCTGTCTCAACTTCTGTCCCTCGGAATGCATGAACATAATTAAATTGTTGTCCTGTGCCACCAAGGCTGGGTAATGGTTTGTCACCAGTGTTAGGTAAGTGGAAATGGAGGAAGAGGTGTTTAGGATTAGTTTGGCAGGGTACTCCTCATGTTGGTGAAGCTTCACCAGTGGGCGTTTTCCCCCTAGTGGGTGTCCAAGTCACCTCTGGTCTTGGATGTCTATGTATCATGGTACTCTTAGGAGAGGAGGCTCACAGACTGCACTGTTCTGGATAGTGATGACGTTTATAAATAAGGAACTCTTTCCCCAAGATGTCCTGGATGCTGAGGCACTGCTCAGCTGGGTGGTGCGGTCCATCTGTATTTGTCCCAGTGTCCAAAAGGCTGAAGGGTGTGTGTGTGCTCACACTGGTAGAGGTCCTCTAGGTGCATCTTACACCCTCCATCTCATCTCAGCCCCACCCTAGCTTCATGAGGAGCTACCGAAGGAGCGTTCCTCCCACTTTATTGATGAAGAGCCGTGACCAAGAACACACATACAGAGTGGCAGGGCAGCGCTTTGAACCTGGTGGTAGGACTCTGAATTTAAGGCCCTTTCGAGGAGCTCCGTGGGTGACTCAGGGAATGGAAATTCTGGGAAGGGGGTTGGGGTCTTCGTTTGCTTCCTCTAAACAGGCTCTTGTTTAGAAATAAGACCAATGGACTTGACTTAAGTTCTGTTCTCCGCTTCCTTTCTCTCTTCACCCCTCACTCTCCTTTCTTTTTTCCTCCAAGATTTTTTAGCAGAGGGCAGAGAGGACGAATCTACTCTCAAGGCCTCTGTTAGAGAAGGCGTGATGGCGAGATGGGGACTTCACTCACCAACCGGGCCAGGACAAAGGGCGAAGGAGGGCGGGCCGCTCCCAGGCTGGGTGGGGGGCAGCGGGGAGCAGAGCGGCCCTTCTCCTCGCAGCCGCCACCCTGCTGTGCGCAGTGGGCGCGAGGCTTCCAGGACAGTCTGCGGTGCAGGGAGCGCTCTGGCTGGGAGGGAGGAGGCGGCCCAGTGCGGCTTCCTGGCTCACGGTGTGTGTCCTGGGGAGAGGAGCACGCAAGTGCCGTTTTCTGAGGATTGTGCCAGACCCTGTCACACGTATAAGCTCATTCAATTCTATTTCCAGATAAGGCCCAGAGAGGGTAGCCGACTTGCCCAAGGCCACACAGGATGTGCGTGTCAGACTCGGTAGGGACGCGCGGCGGGTCTTGGCCCCGGCTCTCCCTGCTCGTCCCGGATCCTCGAAGCCCGGAGGTGTCCCCTACCTGGCGGGGAGGCTTTGGGCCCTCGCCCCGGGGAGGTCTGGAGGGGGCTCCAGCAGGGGGCGCCCCGAGCCCCGTCCGGTGCAGCTGGGCGCGCCTCCAGCCGGCGCCTGGGACGGGGCTGGCCGCTCCGCCCTCTCGGCTCCTCGGCGGCTCGGCTGGCGGGCGCCGGGCGCTCAAGGAGCAGAGGACGGCCGGCCCAGCCCAGCCCGGCGCACCCCGCCGCCTCCCCAGTGCCCGCCGCAGCGCAGCCTCCCGCCGTGAGTAGCGCCCGTCTGCGGGCTCGACGGGCGGGACCGGGCTGTGGCCCGACGGCAGCAGCACCCGGGGCTGGGGCTGGCTGGGCAAAGAGATCCGGGGCACTCGCTCGCAGATCCCGGGCCCGCCGCTGCGGTGTCTGACGCTGTGGCCCGGGGCATTGTGGCCGGCACCTGAGCGCGGGAGCTGCCCGCTGCTGCCCCGGGGCGCCCTCCGGAGCCTGGCACTTTGGCCCGGGAGACAGGGTGGGGGCGGCAGGCAGAGCCGAGCACCCCAGGGAGATGGGAGACAGACGTCCATCAAGTGAGGCCCCTTGTAACGGGCAGAGCACGCCCGGCTCCCGGCCAAGTCTTCTCAGCTTGGGCCTCCTCTCTCACCTCCTGCTCCCGCATGGCACGAGGAGGTGATGCGAGGAGGGTGCTCAGATGTCTGAGCCTCCTGTGGGGCCGAATGAAGCTGTGGTCCCCGCCGTCAGGTGCCCCAAACTGGGGCAGAGCTAGGCTGGGCCCGGGGGCGGCCAGGAGGTGTGCTGCAGGTTGGGTCCCAACAGCTGACTAGGACTCTGGGCCAGGCATTGTGGAGGTCTCAAGGCCTGCCAACCCTCACCATAACTGCATGGTGGAAATTGGTATTCTTACTTTACAAAAGAGAAAACGAGCCCCAGAGAGATGAGCTTCATTGAGGCCGTGCAGGTAATTAATGGTAAGGTAGGGGTGCACACCGGAGTAGAGGACACCATAGCTGGCTCCCACGGAGGCAGGTGAGAAGGCTTGGGGGGCAAGCGCAGGGGCAGTGCCTGACATCTGTACCCTGAAATCCAAGGTGGAGGGCAGACACTCTGGTTTTCGACACTGTGTTTCCCAACTGCCTCTGTGTAAGGTATTCCTGGGAGAATCCTGTTGACTGAGAGGCTCTGGCTCCTTGGCCTCTTCACAGCTAACTCCAGAGCCCTGTTCTTCCCCAAACCACTCATCTCAATGGCACCACGGATAATTCAGCAGCTTCTGAGGAGACTTGGGCAGGGGGCTTAGGGGTGTGTGGATGTGGCTTGGAGATCTGCTCCTCTGGGGTAAGTTCCTGTTTGCAGGAATGAGACCTGCACCGGCCCTGTCCACCTCCCTGAGGCCTCCCAAATTGTTAGCTGTGGGGTGAACAAGCAGGCTTCCCAAGGGAGCTGGATCTTTGCCAGAGACACCAAGTTTTTCTTGTGTCAACTTATGCAGGTGGCTGACCTTCTGCGAGCCTCAGCTTCCTCATCAGAGACGGTGATGGGTCAGAGCCTGGAATGTAGAGAGGGGCCCTGTAACAATGGAGCCCCATCCTTTCTGTTGGCAGCCTCTCCAGAGCCTGGGTGTGATGATTCCTAATGGGGGTGGGTGTGATGAGACAGTTGTGTGTGTTCGGCCCAACCATTGCCTGCCCTCTTGCTGTGGTCTTGTTTCACTCACTTGCACTGGATGAGGTGGGGTGAGGAACTGAGAGAGTTCACTTTGCAGAGTGAGATGGGTCCGTAGGTGAGAGGGCGTCGTGAGTGTTGAGAGTTTCCTGTGAGGTGATCTTCCAGCCCTGGACACCTCCTCCTAGCTTGTCCCTCAGGAGGCCACTGACTTCACCAAACCCGGTGCCATCTTGGAGAGGTTGGGGTGGCTATCAACAGAAGAAGGCCTGGGAAGAGGACCTGGATGGGTCAGCAGTGTGATGTTCAGCAAGTCCCTTCCCCTGTCTGGACCTCAGTTTCCTCTTGTGAAAACAAGTGGGTTAGACTAGAGAGCAGTGTTTTTCAAACTTCTGTTTCACAGTGAACTTTTACCCAGAACCCCAACATATATTATGGATAACATGGAACTGCTCTGGCCTCCCCTTCTCACCCTGGTGATCCTAAAGCAGGTCTAAAAATCCCTAAATAGATGATCTGTGCGATCTCTTTCTGTGGGGTTCTAGGAAATCTGTGTCAGCCCCTGAAGGGTTGCCTGGTGTTAGAGTTGTAGGCAGGAATGTGAATTCCAAGGACTCCATCAGGAGAAATGTGGGCCTTAAGGAAGGTGTCATCCTGGGAGCATCTGGAGCCGATGGCCTGTGCCTCTGGCCAAAAGTCGTAACTGTGTGCCTCCCCTCTGCCATGTGGTTTCAGCTTTTTGAGTCTGGAAAGGTCCCTGTGCCTCTGGGTCCTTTTTTGGGTCCTAGTTGGTGACTATAATTCCACCTCAGTTTCTCCCCTTTAGTTTGTATCTAAACTGGTAAAATGCAAGTTCACCTTGGGAGGGGTGTTAGGAAAGTGCTTGAAATGGCTATCAGTTGTTTTACCTAATGAGCATCTGAGCAGCGGCCTTGAGAAAGGAGGCTGGGGCACTAAATTCAAATCAGCCAAAACTTATGGAGTGCCTGCTGTATACCGGCCTACGACAAAGGGACAGAGGTGAGAATCCCACAATTCTTGCCCTTATGGGGCTCTAAGACACAGGGAGGAGGGAAGGAATTCACATCATCCAGGGACCATTTAAAACATTACACATAGGTTATCTCATTTGTCTCACATTAGTCTCATTTAAAAAAATGCAAAATTTTGATTGCATACAAAATAAGCATACCTCCCATGTATCCATCTAACTACCACCCAGATCAGGAAATAACATTGCCGGCACTCTGAAGCCTCAGAAGCTCCCCTTCCAGCTATCCCCAGAGTGAGGGGATCACCACTCTTCCGACGTTTAGCACTATGCATTAATTTTTTTTTTTTTTTGAGATGGAGTTTCACTCTTGTTACCCAGGCTGGAGTGCAATGGCGCGATCTCGGCTCACCGCAACCTCCGCCTCCTGGGTTCAGGCAATTCTCCTGCCTCAGCCTCCTAAGTAGCTGAGATTACAGGCACCTGCCACCATGCCCAGCTAATTTTTTGTATTTTTAGTAGAGACGGGGTTTCACCACATTGACCAGGATGGTCTCGATCTCTTGACCTCGTGATCCACCCGCCTCGGCCTCCCAAAGTGCTGGGATTACAGGCGTGAGCCACCGCGCCTGGCCTAATTTTACCTAAATGGGATCACACAGTATGCAGTTTTTGTGTCTGGCTACTTTCATTCAACATTATGTTTGTGAGACTCATCCATGTTGTTGCAGGTAACAGTAGTTTGGTAATTCTCATTGCTGTATAATGATTCCATTGTGTGGGTGTATAGTACCTCAATTTGTTTATCCAGTCTTCTATTGATAACCATTTAGTTGTTTCCAATTTTTAGTTATTACTAATAGCATTGCAGTGACCATTATAACGTGGATCTTTTGGGAAAACATCTGCATGTGTTTCTCTTAGGTATGTCCAGAGAAATTCCCCAACAGTTTTCCAAAGTGGTGGTCCCAGTGAATGCCCCTCCTGGCAGTGTTTGAGAGCTCTAGTTGCTGCACATACTCACCAACACTAGACATTGTCTTCGGTTCATTTTCCATGGAAGGGATGTGAAGCTCAGAAGAGTTATCCTATGCTCAGCTGAGCACAATGTGCCAGTAAGTGACAGAGCTGGGATTTGAACCCAGGCCTATGTGATGACTACAAAATCTATTCTCCCCATCTGTGTTAGACAGAGACATAGATTATGACACGAGCCAGAATGTGATTAACTCTAACCCTAAAAATGTATGAAGAATACTCTTGGGGAACTTAAAGAGGGGGAGAATTGTCATCTGTTTCTGGGAGAGCAAGGATCATGGAGCCGCACAGTGATGAAAGCACTTGACTGGGTCTTGTGGGAAGTGGGCAGTTTTGTCCACTCTCCAGGACTTTCCAGGTGGGCCTCTCATGGCAGGGGCCCCACTTCAGCTAAGACATAGCAAGGGTGAAAGTTTTAGGGGATTGGGACAGGTCAACTTGGGCTAGAATATAGGATATTTAAGGGAGAGGGCAAAGGCTGGAAAGGTGAGTTAAAGCCTAACTGGTGGGCCTAGTTTGTCCCTAGGGGGCTCACCTGCCCCCTACCCCTGGCCACGCAGGATATAGAGCCTGAGGCAGAGGCTTATCATTTTGCTGGGAACTGGGCTTCTTTGAATCCTGCTCTTAGCAAATGGAGCTGGCCTCTCACCAAATGGGAGATCTTAGCTGTTCCTGGGACCACTCAGGGTTTCTGCCAACAGATTTTTTTTTTGGAGTTTCCTGCTTATATCTAACTGTGTGAAATTGGTAACCCCACTCCGCAGGACTTGACCCAAATAGTCTATTTGGAAGAATATTTTTTTCAGTGAAAATATGATGGTAGATAGCATTCCCTTTACCCTCTAGGCCAGTCTCAGGAGATTTGCCAGGATGTTGCGGGTGAGTGGGGGCCGAGCTTCTGATTACGGTGAAGCCAAACTTGCCAGAGGACTCCCTGGCATGGGTTAAATCACAGGAATAATCAACCTTCTTTTTTTTTTTTTTTTTTTTGAGACAGAGTTTCGCTCTTGTTACCCAGGCTGGAGTGCAATGGCGCGATCTCGGCTCACCGCAACCTCCGCCTCCTGGGTTCAGGCAATTCTCCTGCCTCAGCCTCCTGAGTAGCTGGGATTACAGGCACACGCCACCATGCCCAGCTAATTTTTTGTATTTTTAGTAGAGACGGGGTTTCACCATGTTGACCAGGATGGTCTTGATCTCTCGACCTCGTGATTCACCCGCCTCGGCCTCCCAAAGTGCTGGGATTACAGGCTTGAGCCACCGCGCCCGGCCTAATCAACCTTCTTATTTGTACAGTAGTTTATATCTGTATCCCCACATGGATGTATGAAGTAGGTGATACAGATAGTATCACTATGATTTTTTTGTTTTTGAGACTGAGTCTCACTTTATTGCCCAGGCTAGAGAGCAGTGGCAAGATCTCAGCTCACTGCAACCTCTGCCTCCTGGGTTCAAGTGATTCTCCTGCCTCAGCCTCCCGAGTAGCTGGGATTACAGGTGCCTGCCACCACTCCCGGCTACTTTTTGCATTTTTAGATGGGATGGGGTTTCACCATGTTGGCCTGGCTAGTCTAGAACTCCTGACCTCAGTGATTCAACTGCTTTGGCTTCCCAAAGTGTGGGAATTACAGGCATGAACCACCGCGCCCGGCCTGTATCACTATGTTTACAGGTAAGGGAATGAGATTCAGAGAGGGTGCCCACCTGCTCTGGGTCACAGGGCTAATATACACCCACACTAGTCTGGAACTGGGGCTCCTGGAGCCTGCTCTTTTAGTATTTCATGCTTGCCCCAGCCTTGGCCAAGCACAGATGATGAATGACGGAGCCTAGGCACCAAAAGGCAGGTGACCCTGAGAGTAAGGCTTGGCAGCCAGGCCAGCTCTGCCTGAAGGTCTTCAGCATCTTTGTGCCTCAGTGGAAGGGAGAGGGACATGCAACATCTTGGTAATGCAGCTCTGGTTTGCAGGGAACTGAGGTGGAGGAAAGAGGGTGAAATGTATACACCCCCTGAGAGGATAGCTCCAGCCACTTGACGTTGATAAGATGTGCCCTTATGTAATTGTGCCTCCACCCAGCCTGGTGAAAATAGTCTTTTGGGGCTCATGGAGCCCACGTGTGGTTGGGAATCTGATTGGCAGACAGCAGGAAAACTCCAGTGCTAGCCAAAATGAGCTTGGAGAGGCCTTTGCTAAAGACCCTTGGAAGACATATCCACAGGCAGCTGGTTTTATTCTTGTGATTTGCAGACTGTGCCCTGGGCCCTGCTCTTGGGGTGTTATCCAGAGTGGCACATGGCTGTCTCAGAAATGGATAAGCCCCTTGGGGCAGAGGGATCCTAGGAGAGGATGCAGACAGTCTCTTCTGGTGGAGTGTAAGTGCTCCCCATGGCTCAGAGTTGGCCTATGGCTTTCAATGAGATGCCTGGGACAGGCAGAGTTGGCTTGATTTTACAGATGAGAACACTGACACACCTCTGACAAGAGAGGAGATCACAGGGCTAGTTGTAGGCAAAGCTGGAACAAGCACCTCAGGCTCTTGAGTCCTGGTGCCTGTTGGAATTTTGGAATTTGCCTCACTCCTCCTGCCCATCTTTACACACACACACACACACACACACACACACACACACACACACACACATATATATATATATAGAGAGAGAGAGAGAGATGGGGTTTCACCATGTTAATCAGACTGGTCTCCAACTCCTGACCTCATGATCTGCTTACCTCGGCCCCTCAAAGTGCTGGGATTACAGGCGTGAGCCACCATGCCCAGCCCTGCCCATCTTTATTTTAGGGGTGATGAGTGAGAGAGTTTGCAGATTAGTTCAGACATGCAGTTGGGTCATAGAATCCCTGAGGGAGCTGAGGTCATGATAATTCCTTACCTATCAATAGCATTTTATAGTTTACAAAATAATTTCATGACTTGAAGTTGATTTTACAGTATTAGCCCCATTTTACAGGTAAGGAAACTAAGTGTCTGGCAGCTTAGGTGGCTTACCCAAGCAATACTGGGACTTGTATCTAGGATTTCTGACTTTAAAGCTAGTGATTTTTTTTTTTTTTTTTTTTTTTTTTTGGAGAACGAGTCTCACTCTGTTGCCCAGACTGGAGGGCAATGGTGTGACCTGAACTCACTGCAACCTCCGCCTCCCAGGTTCAAGTGATTCTTGTGCCTCAGCCTCCTCCTGAGTAGCTGGAATTAGAGATGCGTGTCACCATGCCTGGCTAATTTTTGTATTTTTGGTAAAGATGGGGTTTCACCATGTCGGCCAGGCTGGTCTTGAACTCCTGACATCAAGTGATCCACCAACCTCAGCTTCCCAAAGTGCTGGGATTACAAGTGTAAGCCACTGTGCCCGGCCTTTTTTTTTTTTTTTTTTTTTTTTAATTAACTGCACAACTGCTTCTTTTTGCAGTAGTTTTGAATTTAATGAAAACAAATAGTTGAAGTTCATTCATCATGGATGTTTCTCTGAACTTCTTCAGACAGATCTGAAGACCTAAGGAATTCTCCTTTCCTGTCTCCTTAACAAATTTGAATTCATATAAATCAAATAATAACCATACATCATCAGCTGCAGGTGAGAAAAGGCTTGAGCAGGGCAGTTCTTTAGGAACCGAAGCTTCAGATTATTACTAAATTATTAGCTGCCTTGCACCCAGTTACTTTTAGGCCTTAGACTCTTAGGCTTGTGCTAATTTGGATGGCTGTCCTAACCTCAGGTTTCTTCCCATTTCAGTGTTGTATGTCCCAGGCCTCAATGAGGAGCCCAAACATGGAGCCCTTCAAGCAGCAGAAGGTGGAGGACTTTTACGACATCGGAGAGGAGCTGGGGAGGTAGGAGACTGTGTGAGAGGTTGGGGGATGCTGAGGGAGCCAAAGTCACGCTTCTTCTGACACAATTGTCTGTTGGTGTTGGAAGGCAGGGCCACAGGACCAGTGGGAAGCTTTAAAAACGAGCCTGGAGTTTATTCACCTGCCTGGGTGACTATGCACATAGTCATTGCTCTGGAAATAATGACTTGCCAGTAAAAGGGATGAGAATTGTTGACTTTTGTGTTTTCAGCATAATCTGGCTGGCAGGGAAAACCTACATAATTCTTATTTGATCTGTTACTTTTTTCATAAAGCTCCCCCAGGCTCTGGATGGAGACCTGACTTGTTGGTTTTCTTCTGAGTCTTACTTGGGATTCTCCATGGTTCCCAGAGTTTTGTTTTAAGCTCAGAACCTGAATGGGAGGTGAGGTAATCCTCCTGAGAATGGATTTACGTTGAGTAACCAGCCACATGAGCTCCATAATGAAGTTTTTCTGGGATCTTTATTACTTGGTTTGCTGAGTCCAGAACACAGCCAGGGTGAAAATCAGATCTGAAAGTACTGTAGTTACTATTTGGATAGAAAATAAGATTTTCCGAAGCTCTTTTCTTGCCTTCCATTTCTAACAACTGCTAATAGTTAGGTGGTAATGTAGTGATTACACAATGCCAGTCTTGAAGTTTGAGTCGCACAACAATGCACGAAAAACAGACATTATTTCTTCTTTCGTTTTCCAGATGAGGAAACTGTGGTCCAGCATTTGGGCAAGTTACCCCAAGTTGCTGAGCCAGTGAGTAACATAGGCAAGGTTCTGACCAGTCCGTTTTGCACCTGCACACCTGTTATGCCCTCTCCCATGAGCTTGGCACTTGTACACTCACACATGCTCATCAGAACACCTAGCCTCACCTCTTCACACACCCTGCAGCATGAAAACATGGGAATTTAGAGTGTGTAGACCCAGACAGGTATAGGTAATTTAGAAAGTTTATTTTGTCAAGGTTGAAGACGCACACCCATCACATAGCCTCAGCAGGTCCTGATGAATTGTGCCCAAGGTGGTCACAGCACAGTTTGGTTTTATAATTCTAGGGAGACATGAGACATCAGTCAAATATGCAAGATGAACATTGCTTTGGTCTGGAAGGGTGGGACAACTGTAACTCTAAGCAAAGGTGGGAAGACTTTAATGGGAAGGGAATTTCCAGGTCATAGGTATATAAGAGACAAATGGTTACATTCTTTGGAGTTTCTGATTAGCCTTTCTAAAGGAGGCGATCAGGTATGCATTTATCTCAGTGAGCAGAGGGGTGATTTTGAATAGAATGGGAGGTAGGTTGGCTCTAAGCAGTTCCCAGCTTGACTTTTCCCTTTAGCTTAGGGATTTGGGGGACCCCAAGATTTATTTTCCTCTCACAAGTGTCTACTGTATTCAACAGGCAATCAGGAGTTCTTCTCCCTTTATAGAACTCCTAGGTCAGGACTAGTTGTCTTACTTTTGTTTTTTTGCTTTCAAAGACAAAACAGATTTTCAAAGTCAGAAGAGCTTCACTCCAAAGAGAATGACAGGCAGCAGGTGCTTCAAGATCAGGGAGTTTATCCTGGCTGGCTGGCTGGTGTGGAGGGGAGCAAATAACTGCAGAGATCCCAGAGGGGAATGACTTTTCCCCATCTGGGGCCTGGTGAAGGAGTAGGAAGAGGACATAGGACCAGAGGCTGGGGTTGGTCAGCTGGAGCCTGCCTCTGGATGGGAAGCCAGGTTCTCTTTGCCTCTGATTCTTCTCCTGCCCTTGGTGACACCAGCAGAAAGGTGGCATTCTTGTCAACAGACCATGGCCAGCCCTGCCAATGGTGCTTGATTCAGTGCCCTCACTTGGCCACGTCCTGCGTGTAGGGGTCTCTGCTGAGTACTGTGGGTACACAGATGAGCAAGATGAGACGATCTCTCCCCTCCTTGAGCTCCACCCTGGCAGTGAGGCAGCCACACACATGCTAACAGGGCATTCTTGGATTGGACTAGAGTCTGGGTGGGCAGAGAAACTGAGAAGTTGTCGGGGGTGGGACTCTGAAGAAGGAAGCAGAAGCAGTTTCCTGGGGATTGCATTTATGATTCCTTCTTAGTCTTGTCTCTCTCCGACTCTGTATACAAGGACATGTGCTGTTAGACCCAGAAGAGATCTCATGTTTCCTGGTCCTCCACCTGCAACAGGGTGTGGATATCCCATGCACTGCACAGCCTGGGGTGTCTTGGGATGATTCTCGTCTCCCCTACTCTTCTTTTTTTTTTTTTTGAGATGGAGTCTCACACTGTTGCCCGGGCTGGAGTGCGATGACTAGATCACTGCAACTCAGCCTCCCAAGTAGCTGGGATTACAGGCACCTACCACCAAGCCTAGCTAAATTTTTATATTTTTAGTAGAGATGGGGTTTCACTATTTTGACCAGGCTGGTCTTGAACTCCTGACCTTGTGATCTGCCCGCCTTGGCCTCCCAAAGTGCTGGGATTACAGGCGTGAACCACCACGCCCAACATTCCCTAGTCTTCTAAAGTGCTAATGGGGCAAAAGGTGAGTAAGCCGCATATGAGGTCCAGGGGCTAGGGGCCAGGGGCCTTTGGAGTGGCCAGACGTTCTAAGATTTGTGGTCTAGAGGTCAGATGAGTTAGAAGGGCTTTAGAGGTCCTCTCTTCCAGACTTCTCACTTGACAGTTGAGGAAATAGAGGCTCAGAGAAGGGAAGGGTCTTGCCTGGGGCCACAGAACAGGCTAGAACTAGAGCTGCCTTCGGATGACCACTCAGCTTCTGAAGGAACAGTCCTATTCTCTCCTGCCCTCCTGTTCTTCACTTAACATATTTTTGAGGATCCACTATGTGCACTGTCTGAGCAGTGGAAAGCAAAACAGATACAGTCCTGTCCTCTGGCAGTTTGTGCTCCTGAGGCTGGTGGAGAAAGGCAATGCACAAGTGGATGCCACAGGATAAATCACCCATAAGGTGTGTTAAGGGCTAAGAAATGAGAGAAAAGGATGCCCTGCAAGGGAATGATGGGGGATGTAGTTCCGACTGGGTGGTGAGAGAAGATTGCTCCGAGGAAGTGACTGTTAATTTGAGAACTGAGGGGTAAATGCACAAGCAAAGTCAGTGGCCTGGAGGAGCCCTGAAGCAGGGAAGCACCTAGGTAGGACCTGGGGAGCCAGCAGGAGGCTGGTGGGCCTTGGACAGAGGGCCAGGGGCAAGCAGTGTGAGATGAGGCTGGGGGCATGGGTGGAGACCAGATCCAGTTGGTGAATTCCCTGCCAACACAGAGTGGTGGAAAGGTTTGGCCTTTGGGGTCTCATGAGTTGGGGTTTGAGTCCCTGTCCTAGCTGTGTAACATGAGGACAACTTGCCCTCTCTGAGCCTCAGCTTTCTTACCTGTAAGACAGAAGTAGTACCATTACCTAGATCACGGTTGTGGGGATGAAATGAGATGCCAGTTTAGGTGTTCCTCACAGAGTTGGGCATGTGGTAAGTGTTCATGAACAAGAGCTTCTGGTCTTCAACAGCGAATGGACTGAGGCTTTGATGTAGGTTTGGAGTGTCAAGGCCCTACCTTCTGCCTCTGCAGCCTTCTAGGAGGAAGGCATGGGAGCCGTTAGCAAGAAGAACAGGGGAATCATCCTGATTTCCAGGGAGCTGAATGCAAACTTCCTTACTTTATTGTCAGTGAGCACCCTAGGGTAGACCCAGGGCCCTCTCATTGATTGTAGCTCTTCATTAAGTCCTAACTATGCAAAAATGAAAATGAACAACAGTTTGTTACAGGTTACAGTGGATGAAGCTCAGACAGGTAATGTGGAGCAAAGGAAGGCAGACTCAACAGGGTGTGTACTGCTTCCTTCCATTTGTGAAAGCTCATATCAGGCAAAAGGAATCAATGGTGCTAGAGGTCTGAATGGTGGTTTTCCTTCGGGGACTAGTGACTGGAAGGGGACACAAAGGTGATTTCTGGGGTGCCATATTCTGTTTCTTGATCTGGGTATGTGTTTCATAGACGTGTTCATTTTATGACTATTTATATGAAGACATATATGCATATGGGCATTTTCCTGTTTATGTATTAGACCTTAACTAAAATAGTTTATTAATAAATAACCTTTAACTCGACTTTCTGCCCTAGCCTGGTCCACAAGTTTCCAATTCCTTTAGAGGCTTTGTCTATCCTTATCCTATGAATAAGAGCATATTTGTAAGGAAAGCTTTGGTTAGAAACAGGGTACCCTGGCTGGGGCATCCTGCACTCTGCTGGGATCCTCCCTGGCCCTGCATATTTTTTTTACCTTATTTCTAGCTTCCAGCGCTGAGTGCAGTCAGTTGGCTGTGCTCACACTTTTGGCACCAGCCTGCTGGGGATGCTGGAGGTTGTCTGCTGTTTCTGGGAGTGTTTGGAGAAATGTTGGCTTGCAGATTTTGGCCTCTCCCAGCCTTGGTAGCCACCAGTAGAGCAGAGCAGGGGAATATTAGAGCAGGGCTCATAAAGAGAAACCCCTCCAACTCCTGATTCCGTAGATGAGGCTAAGACCAGAGATGAGAAGTGGTGAACTGGTGATAGAATCAGGGCGGGTCTGGTGATCTGACTCCTAGCCCAGAACTCTGGCCACCACACCATAAGGACCCACAAGACACAAAGTCATTTCTTCCTTTAATTGGAAGGTTTCTGAGTGGGAGAGAATATAAGGGAAGGGAGTCTTCTGTTTGAACTTGAGGGTAGTGTAGTAGGATCAGAGTTAGGAGGATGAGCCTTTGGGAAGGAGTCGTATTTCCCAGGGGGAGGGTACCAGTTGGTAGGCCCATTGACGATTTCGTGAACTTCTACATAGACAACTACTGCATACATAATGATATAAAGTAATTTAATGTAAGCAGCATGTAATGAATCACTATTCCTTATTTCCTATCCTTTGATTCCTTTCCTTTACTTAGTTTGTTTTTTTTTTTGAGATGGAGTCTCACTCTGTCACCGAGGCTATAGTGCAATCCCA